ATAAGTATTAAAGAATACTAATATAGAGTACCGTCACTAGAGGTCGGAGCCCAACCTCTAGTGACGGAGTCACTAGGGCCATAAAATCTTTAATATATGTATGTATATATATATATATATATATATATATATATATATATATATATATATATATATATATATATATATATATATATATATATATATATATATATATATATATATATATATATACTTATATTGCGTAAACTTGTAAACTTTTTTTATCGGCGAAATACATATAATAATAATATATATATTATATATATATATATATATATATTTATATATATATATATATATATATATATATATATATTTATATATATATATATATATATATATATATATATATATATATATATATATATATATATATATATACTTATATTGCGTAAACTTGTAAACTTTTTTTATCGGCGAAATACATATAATAATAATAATATATATATATATATATATATATATATATATATATATATATATATATATATATATATATATATATATATATATATATATATATATATATATATATATATACTTATATTGCGTAAACTTGTAAACTTTTTTTATCGGCGAAATACATATAATAATATATATATATACATATATATATATATACATATATATATATATATATATATATATATATATATATATATATATATATATATATATATATATATATATATATATATATATATATATTATTATATGTATTTCGCCGATAAAAAAAGTTTACAAGTTTACGCAATATAAGTATATATATATATATATATATATATATATATATATATATATATATATATATATATATATATATATATATTATTATTATTATATGTATTTCGCCGATAAAAAAAGTTTACAAGTTTACGCAATATAAGTATATATATATATATATATATATATATATATATATATATATATATATATATATATATATATATATATATATATATATATATATATATATATATATATATATATATATATATATATATATATATATATATATATATATATTACATGGCTGGGACAAGAAGAAGACTAGTTTAGTCTTAACACCAAACCCCTTTAAATAAAACTGTCAATATTAAAAACACAAAGCAAAGTAACTCGTTAAATAAACGTGAAATAAAACATTGAGTTAAAATAAAATAACGTTAAATAAAATGAAACGTTAAGTAAAAAATAAAATAAAAATACATTTTACGCGAAAGTATACATAAATTTTTTTAATTAATTATTTTTTTAATTAAATTCATTTTTCCTAACTGGTTTTAGATTTATAAACCTTTTGAATTTAAATCATAAAATAACAGATAATACACGAATAACAAAACAAAAAACCAACATTTTTAAAACATTTTTAGTGACTTAATGTGTCATTTATATATGTTTTTTATTAAAGTTTATTATATCAAATAAAATAAAAAACAATATCAATTTTTTTTTATACGCCTTAACGTATTTGATATATATATATATATATATATATATATATATATATATATATATATATATATATATATATATATATATATATATATATTATATATATATTCTGTTTAAGCTCTCAGAAAGTTATGTTACTAAAGCTAACATTTGATGTCAAAAAAAGTTTTAAAAGTAATACACTTAAACTTTGTACTTAATCTTATATAGGTATTTCGCCTGTAGAAATTTTATTTAGATTTCTCTATTTCTATACTAGTTTAGAATACTTTCAGAATTAAACGTCCCAAGGTTTGATTCCCGCTCCGGGCACAAAAGTGACAAAACGGTGAAGAAGGCTACACAAACCTTCTAAATAAATTCTTCTACATGGCGTTTTATGACGAAACCACTAGGTTTTGTCATTAAAATGGTTTCTTGGATCACATAAAAGTAAAGAAAAAAAAAAAAAAAAAAAACATATTTGTGGCATAATATCCATTTTTTAAAAGTAAATTTATGTACTTTTTCGTATAAATCATTAAACAAAAATCATTAAAACACTAATCTTATTATTTAAATAAAACAGTTTTTACTTGAGATTAATTTTAGAATAGTGTAGAAGTTTTTAATTGATTATTGTTATTCTAACAAACTTGTAAAAATTGTTATTTTCATTTTTCTAAGACAAAGTATTGCAATGTGCCAAAACAATTTTTTTTAATACGCCTTAGCGTATTTAATTGTATATGCGCTGTTTATTAAATATACCTATGTAAAATTTAAAACTTAAAAAGAAAACAGATTCTTCTTGAAAGATGCTAAATAAACATAATCACTTGACGTTAAACCGTGCTAATTTGTCGCTTTCGTCGTCGGAACTTGTGCATATACATTTGTGATGAATAATGCGAACAGGAACTTTCATGTATTATGAATTTTACACTTTAAAGTTTTAAAAAACATGCTTATCAACAGAGAAACAAATAAAGAAAAATTAAACGCACTAATTTGTTCAATCCATTTCTTCAAACATTTTCGGCTTCTTAAAACAAATGTTAATTGCATTTTTTTCTATCGCAATTAAATATTTATTCGATTTTTTTCGTGAAAATGTAATTTAATAAAAAAAGTTATTAAATTTAAAATTTTGTCTTCCAAGCGTGGTTTATTCAAAGCGCTGAACTATTTAACTCCATTTAGCAAGTTTCGTTACGCAATATTTAGCCATCGAGAATAAGAAGTGCAAAACCTCTAAAGACGTATTATTCTATATTTATTATATTGTAATTTGACAAACAAACAAGAGGTTAGGAAACTTCTAAAATTTATATTCTATGTTGACAAATATTTATTTGTCAACATAATATATAAGTATAACTTTTTAAGTATAACTTTTAGAATTAAGATCCTAAATTTAAACATTACTTATTTAAAAGATAACATGATATAATAGAATGTTTATTGTGTTTCTTGATTAACAGAAATATTTTAAGTTATATTTTAAGATAGATTTAGGTTTACGGTTAGGGTTTCCTAATCCATGGAGCATAATGAGATTTAGGAACATAACGAAGACCATAAGGTCATATAAAATACTTATCAACAACCATGAATTTCGCGGCCGTGTTTTTTAAAAGCAGGTTAACCCTATAGGGTTAATACGGTTTACTACCGCTGTATACAGTGGTAGTGAAATAATTTTAAGTTGCCATTTAATAACGTTTTAGAATAAGATAAACAAGTTCAACAATGTTTTTAAAAAAGTAAGAAAAATGACACCAAAATAAATTTCAACAAATTGTTTTCACTCAATTCACCAAGGCTCGTCATTTTTATATAGATTTTCGTATGACATATATTGTAAGTACGATATAATTTTTATATAAAAAATTATAGAATACATTTTTAGTTTGTTGTACATGTTTAGAATACATGTTTAGATTGTAGCAAATGGATCTAATTTTTTTTTTTAATTTTATTTAAAAAAAAATATATTTATACATATAATTCTTTAATAAAATAATTTTAATAATAATTATATTAAAGCATGAGAATGTTTTTTAACGAACAGAAAGAAAAAATGAACAGATCAAAATAAAGAAAAAAGAAAAAAGAAAAGCGCTACTCAAAGGTCCACCGCAAAGAAATTGTCGAACTTAATTTATTTCGCACGAATGTTTTAACTTTCCCGAAGAAACAGATTATGTCAGTAAAATTGAATGGAAATAGAATCGCGTAGAAAAGTGCTAATTATCTAAAGTTAAATAGGAATAGATTTCGTTTGACTTTCTTGTCGCTCGCGCGTTGCAATCAAGTTTATGCTTTACTAAAATAAGAATATTGTTTGTTAGTGAAAATGTATAAAGTTAAAAAGTATCTTGTAGGAAATATGTGGTCTAAAACATACAAAAATACATCGAATATTTTTTACTATACAGTTTAATTATGTTTTAATGTTTTTTTTAACGGTAATCAAAGTAAACAAGGAATTGCGAATTAAGAGGTAAGTTTTTCAATCAACAGAGTGTTAAGGAAGAAACCGACTCTTAATTATTAAATTTTATAAAAATGTATTTTTGTTAAAACAAAAGAACACTTTGCCGTATCGCGCGCAAAAAAAAAAAAAGAATTCTTTTTTGAGTGATACGGCTAAGCAAATGAGAAATCGGAATCGTGGTTTGAATTCTACACGACTGATGACTTCAAACAAGAATTATAATAATCTAATAATAAACGCCTTTTATCTTTTTTTTTTTTTTTTTTTTTCACGGCATTTATTATATAAAATAAACGATCTCTAAAATCATTTTTATTAACCGAATCAATACAAAAGTTTAAAAAAATATGAAAGATTCTCCGATAGAAAACTAAACAAGTTTTTACCGTTGTACGTAATTAGGAATACTCATTAATGCAAGCGAATTTTTATTACTAAAATATTAATTAGCGTTTGGCCTTTAGAATCTTAATTCGATTTAAGAGTCACACACTTTATAAGTGCAAAGTTATTTTTATACAAAAACATGTATTCATTTCACGAACAGTTGCTAAGAAGTCTGTTAACAAAAAAAACCGACGTCCTTTCTGTTTGTAAAAAAATGTAAAAAATTATCTTAACACAACTAACCGACTTTTTTTAGAGAACACATTATAAGCCAATACGTTGGTTATTTAATCCCGCATGTTAAGTCAGTTTGCTCGAAATCGCAACTTTTTTTTCAATTATTGGATAAGACTCCAAAACGGATGCGTTGCGGTTTAAGCTGTTAGAACTTAATAACCAATTTTATTTTTGTATTCATGCAAATTATTTAAACTTTGTCTTTCAATACAACACCTATAACTATAGGTAACTTCTACAAATGGATATTTGATAACTTTTTAAAAAAGTTGTTGTTATAAAGCATTGACATTTGTTTGGTTACGCAAACTTTGAAAACAAGAAATAAACAAAAGGAATAACGTTTAAATAATCAAATAAAAAATATTAGAATATAGAGTTTGCATTTTTTTCATAATTTTGTACTTTTTTTGGTTATAGGTTCTTATAAATTAAAAAACTAAAAATATGAAGTCCGATTTCTCCATGGCTTCGATTTTGAAAGATAACGAAAGTAAAAAACAAAAGGTAGAGAAGAAATTAACTAAAGATTTGATGCTAAGAGTAAAACTTGAGGATAAAAATCTATGGGCAAGCTTTCATCGAATGACCAATGAAATGATTGTCACAAAAAATGGCAGGTAACAGTTTTTCAGAGATTCCATAACTCTCGTGTATTGTTTATTAGTTTTTTTCTCCTTGTTTGCTGTTTTTTTACTTTAAAAAAATCTCAATATTTTTTTGAACTTAATAAAAAATCTCGAAATAGATTTTCAAAAATATTATGTAAAAATATTGACGTCATATAACGCAAATTAAGCAAAAAGATGCAAGTCGTTGCAATTAGTGGCGTTTTTACTATTTACGTTTTTTAGAAAATATATTTTAAAAGTTGTTGGATAATTGGTTTTGTGAAACATTTACGTCAGTACTTCGATTAGAAGCTTATTAGGATACTTTTAATGGGTAAAATAGTTATAGTGGAAAGAGTACTAAAAAAGACGCATTTTTAACAAGGTTATTACCTTTAAAAAGTCAACTTAATTTAGAGGCGCCGGAAGTTACAACAATTATACTTTAAAAATGTTACAGGAGTTTCCGTGTGTCTGCCGTTTATTATGAACTATAAAAAGTGTCTAGTCGCAGAGACAAAATACGTAAGTAAATAAAGAGTCAAGAAGTCCGGCATTAATGACGTAACAGAAAAATGCACGTTAGCCGTAATTTTTTGGTGTTTTGGAAATCTCCATTCTACTCAGGGAAATTTCACATGACGTCTGTAATGTTTTTACGGGCTAACTTATTCAAAATAATTTTACGCTCATCAGAAAAAGGAAATGAACTTTTTCAGCAATTAAATTTGTCTTAAAATTTTTCAAAATACATAAACTTTAAACATTCCTTAAAGATAACTAGATTTTTTTAAAAAAAACAGCTTATTGTTTTGTTTTAAGTATGAATGTTTCTAAACTTATAAAATCTAAAATAATTTTTAAAAATATTTAACCATTTTATGTAGACGTATGTTTCCGGTTTTAAAGTCATCTGTCGATGGGTTAGATCCTCAATCCATGTATACTATTATGCTAGACTTTTTACCAGTAGATGAAAATCGATGGAAGTATGTTAACGGCGAATGGTCACACGCAGGTAAACCAGAGTCTACACCACCGAGTAAAATATATGTCCATCCTGATTCACCGAACTTTGGATGTCACTGGATGAAAAATCCTATTGTATTTTCCAAGGTAAAATTAACCAACAAGGAAAGTACCAATGGGCAAGTGGTATGTACATTTTATTTTTCTGCAAAAACTGATTCATAAAACTATAACTCTATAACAAAAACTATTACTATAATTTACTATAAAAATATAAATTACTCTCTCTCTATATATATATTTTCAGACTGTTGGTTTCCCTTGTATACCCGCAATATATTGTATATAATCAAAGGTTCTATAATTTTATTTTTCATGCAGCTCATGCTGAACTCGTTGCATAAGTACATTCCTCGCATCCACATTGTCAAGGTCTGCAACGGTGAAAAAATTACGTCTACACATACCTTCGTTGAAACGGAATTCATCGCTGTTACTGCTTATCAAAACGAAGAGGTAAAGCACACATACGCATAGATTTAGTTAATAGCAAAATAATAAACCTTTACTTTTAATTATTTTTTGTTAATCTTGTTAGTTTGTTAAAATTACAATAGAAAATTAAAATATTAGAGATTAAGAACAATAAGAGCAACAAGAAGCCTAGGTTGTCTTATCTTAGCTTAATCAATATTTTTAATTTTATTTATGAAAGGTGTAGCAGCAGATTCAAACATCATTGCGAGATAAAATAATATAGGTTTTTAAGAAGATAATATATGAGAATATTTTTAATTTTATTTATGAAAGGTGTAGCAGATTCAAACATCATTGCAAGATGAAATAAATATTTTTGGGATTTAAAATCGGGGGAAGGGGGAAGGGTCAGGATTTTATGACGTCTTTTTCAAGGGGGGTATAAAAAAAAAGGACAACTGGTGACACAGGAGGGAAGGGGGTCAAAAATTGGCGAAAAAACTTTATGGATGGCCCCAAAAGAGAGGTAACTGTGTGAGTTATTATTTCACAAAAAATTGAGTGACGTTTTATTATAAAAAAATGACTAATTTCTAAATATAAAGTAGTAAACTTTAGAAACAAAGATGTATTGTGATATTGTATTGATAACTTTATGGTGATTTATGGTGACATGTATTGATAACTTTATGGTGACTTTAAATGTTAATTATTAACCTTGAACTTTTTAAATTATTTTCAAAAAAGATTAAATCTAATATATAAAAATTCATGTTAAGTAAAAATATTAAATCGAATATATCTAATTCCATGTTAAGTAAATGCTGTTTTGGTTTAGCTTAAAAATATTCCCAAGTTTAAGGAAAAAAGTCTCTTAAAGTCTCAGTCTGTATCTAAAAACCTGTTTCTGTCTTTCTCTAAAAACCTGCTAAAATATTTAAAAGAAATTTCATTTAAGTTTGAAATGCTGAGTATAAGCCAAGTCGATGAAATACTTGATAAAAGCCACGCTTTGCTACCATAAGTTGTAGTATTCGCTTGATGAATATTAATATGAATATTAAACTTATAAATATTTAAAACCAAGCTCACGTGAGAGATGTCCTCAATGAGCATTTCTGTGTAAAACAAAACCATTAAAAAAAAAAAAAATTTTGTAAAAAGTTTTATACAAAATTAAAATATTCTTTGAGATCTTGCTTTCAATTTGTTTTATATAAGGACTCTAAAACAAGTCTTTATATAAAACTACTCTTCGGAAGTTTAATTGATTTAATGCTTGGTTCCCTTTAAATTATTATTTTATTGAATCAAAATTTGGGTAACTTAAAGGGAGTTTTATCGGCTTTACTAGGCTTATAGAATCGGATAAACTTTGTTTTCTCTATATTTATTGAAAGTCGGTTACTTATAAACCATTTGTTTATTTTATGTTATTCTTTGTTAAGTATTTTAAAAAGAAATTTTTACCTTTGTAAGAAAAAAATAGTCAACAACAAATAAGATAGTATTTAACACTATTGATAGTAAGTATTTATATTAAAATAACAAGTTAAAATAACAATGGTCCTAAAATAGAACTTTAAGGTACCCCCACAAGTTATTTAGTTGTATTTTTAAATCTTATGATTCTTTGAGCTTAAATTCTTTCCTGTAAGTCAAACTTAAACCATAGTAATTTTTGGTTTTTTAAAAAAGTAATACATGGTTTACAATTTGTAATAGAAAACCTAATAATTGAACTAAATTATTACTTTATAAAAATTATTACTTAGATAACGAACTTAAAAATTCGATACAACCCGTTCGCAAAAGCTTTTCTGGATGCCAAAGAACGAAACGAACAAAAAGAGTTTATCGAGAAAAAAAAATTATGTAATTGTTGTACTGCACGTTCTCATTGTTACGATGATATGGAATTTTCAAATAGACGCAATTCAATGGTGGACACTCAGCAACTTCAAAATGTACTTAATGATAAAATGTTAATACGTCAACACCCATATTTGCACCCATCAATGGAAATACGATCTCAAAATGCATGTAAGTCATTTTTTACCAAAATATTAATTTAAAATTTCTTACATACACGTACATAAAGATATATAGCTGATTTAATTCTTAATATTAAAATTTTGTTATGCATATCAGAGTATTATTATGTGCCAAATAAACGCCTCTAATTACCAACTATTTTTTGTCTTTTCCCACCTTCCCGGATCTTATAAGAAGCTCCCGTTTATTTATTTTAAAGATTTATTTTTTCGTTTTTTTTCGCTTGCACAGTGCATAGAAACAAAAAGCTGTAATGTAATTATTTGTGACCATTGAAATTAAAGCAAAAAACCCCATCCGCGTTTTTTTTGGCACCTAAAAATAAAAGAATTAAAATAAAAACTACATTTTTAGGTTACTCCTACGCCCGACGCAGACCATTTTTTGATATACCATCTCATCAATTCCTACCTACGTCGCATACAAAAAATTCTCAAATGTTTTGCTATTCAACATCATTGCCTAATTCATCTATTTGCGATGATGACATTCATCGGCATTCTACTAGCCCACCGGATAGAATATTGCGTAACGGTTTTTCTCCAAAACTACTTTCGAAATTCAATACTGCAAATCTCAACAATGAAGCTTTTTATGAATCGCTTAGACGTAAACACGAGTTTGATATATCTCATCAAAGAAAAGGGCGCATTGAGCATTTCCATATTCGTCAATGAACTCTTTTTTCCAATTAACTTTTTGGATACCCTTATCAGTCGTCGAATTTTTTTTTCAAAAATTAAATTACGTGAGAGTAAATATGAGAAAGTACATTTGAGACAACTGTAAAAACTATGAACTATAATTTATTTCATTTGTATATATTACACAGTATAGAAAAGTATACACAATAAATAACTTTAATTTTTCAATATATAAACACAATAAAATGTTAAATAAATTATAAACAATAGCGTGCTAATACACAAAAAATCACAAACTTGTAATGTCCGAGGAAAGAATTGGCGGTCGCTTTGCTGTATGTTTTGATACAACGTCAAACTTTAGCTTGTTGACGTTAAGCGGTTTAAAAGCAATGTCAGAACTAAGAAGATTACCAAGTGCATTTTTTCGTTGAAGAAAATCCATAATAAAACCATACCGGGCCTATAACAAATGATAAGCTTCAAAAATATAAAAATGCAAAAATTACTATATAAAAAATATAAAAATAAAAAATAAGTTAATAAAAAAAGAACTAAAATAAATGCAAAATACTCTTTCAACATTTTCATTGGCCCATTCCATAGATGGAAGATTAGAGACTTGAAAAAGCCCATAAATAGACTCATAAAAACACTGTTCAAATAAACTGTGGAGATAATTTACATCTCTCTAAAATAAAAATGCTTAAAGACAATTTAAAGAAAAAAAGATTAATGTGGAAGCATTTTTGTTATACCTTCCGGATAAAAAAAATGACCGAGTTTTTAAAGTTTCATTTTCAAAATAATAAACGAATAATAAAATTGTTCAATAGAAAATAAAGAGTAAAGCTCAATTTTTAAAATAATATATTGATCAATATCCGGTCAAGTGTCCTTGGATTTCTATGCATTTTTGAACACGACGGTTCATACTGTCAATTAATGAATTCAAATAATCCAAGAAAAGTCTGTTCCAAACTTCTTGAATTGCAACCTCTAAATCATCTAAATTTTTTGGTTTTTTCTTTTCCACTGCTTTTTCATTAACCCCCAAACGTTTTAAATGGGGTTAAGGTCCGGTGAATTAGCGGACCAAGAAGAAACTTTCCATTTATGTTCTGTAAACCACTCAGAAACTGATTTTGAAGTGTGGCACGTTGCCCCTTCTTGTTGAAATGTAAAACTCCTTGGAAAAAGATCTTTTAGAGTTGGCTCAGCTTCAGAAAGTCTTTGTATCTCTTATCTCTTTGTATTTTTTAATATTCACAGTGCCCTTGATTATAAGAAATGATGTTTTTCCTTTGGAACTAATCGCCCCCAAAATCATGAGACTCTGTTTGAACTTTGGTTTGTCAATTCTCGGTCGTTTCTTTGCCCATCGACCTTTTCGAGTTCAAAATAACTCAAAACGACTCTCGTCACTAAATACCCATTGATTCCATCTTGTTCTTAGGTGTTCTTCACACCATTTTACCATATTTTCTTGTTGAACAGGAGTCAATAGGGGTTGATATTGGGGACGAAACTGATCACTTCGGTTAAAATAACGAGTAATGGTTCTGGGAGCAACCTTGGGACTACTTTTTTTGATTAATTCAATTTGAACATCTCGGGTGGATCGTGTGTCATCTTTTCGAGTTAATTGAATTAATCGTTGTTGGTCCTTTAAATGATCTTTTCTTAGTCTACCACTTCCTTTCTTTCTCTTTAAGCTCCTTCCCTCATTTTCGTTAAATATCTTGCAACTGTTGCCTTAGGTATCCCAGTTAATTTCATCTAAGACTTTAGGTCTTTATGACCCGCTTTAAAAAGATAGTCAATTGTCAACGCTGACGACTTCATTTCTAAAATAAATATTTTTAGGTGAATCAAAAATAATAATGAACACATAGATTTTTTGATGAATATATATGCACCTGATAAATCAAACAATGGGTTTCATGAAATACAAAAAAAGCCATTGTATGACTCGCCAAAAATTGTAAAAATACGAACAAAAGTTTTGCGTACGCGGTCTCATTTTTTGGTCTGGAAGGTATAAGACCTAATTCAAACAAATAAAAAATTGCAAACAAAAATGCGATAACTTCTTATTTTATAGGTATGTTGCATGAAAAAAACGTTTCGTAATTTAATGTTTCGGCTATAAGAATATTATATGAAATAAACACATATGATGACACAAAACTTTTGATAAGACTTTTGTAGCTGAGAACATAATACCAAGAATGTATTTTAAAGGAGGGGGATAATACGGTATTAAAACAGAATCATTCCCAATCCTTAAAGATTTTATGCAATCCTTAAAAATTTATGCAACCCACCAAAATCATCACACACAGGTTAATAATAGTATTAAAACTAAAATAAAATGTTTTATTTGATTGTTTTATTTAGTTTTATTTAAAACTAAATTAAAATAGAAGTTTTATTTTATATGATCAAAAATAAAATAGAAGTTTTATTTTATATGATCAAAAATAAAGACATATTTGATACAAAAATGTCTTTATTTTTGATCATATAAAATAAAACATATAAAATGACATGAACAAAAATATACTAAAAAACAATACTTGGTAATATAAATAAAAAAAAGTAAGTTTGTACTCGTTGAGCTCTTTTGAGAGATATTCGCGATTTTTCATTCCATGTCATGTTAAGAGCATCCATCATATCGGCAAAGTCTAGAGCGCGTGGAAAATGCGACAAAATCGGATCGCAAATCGGTTCTGTAACATAATAATATTCAAACACTACATAATGATATACTCACACACAAACACTTTTTTTATAATAATAATATAACTTTTAATATAATACTTAAAGAAATTTAAAAAATATTTTTATTTTGCTAAATTTTGCTAGACTTTGTAAACGAAATAAAATCTTTACTTTGAACATATTATATATATATATATATATATATATATATATATATATATATATATATATATATATATATATATATATATATATATATATATATATATATATATATATATATATATATATATATATATATACATATATATATATATATATATATATATATATATATATATATATATATATATATATATATATATATATATATATATATATATATATATATATATATATATATATATATATATATATATATATATATATGTTAATTATAAAAATTATATATATATATATATATATATAATATATATATAAATATATATATATATATATATATATATATATATATATAATATATATATATACACATACATATATTATATATATATATATATATATATATATATATATATATATATATATATATATATATATATATATATATATATATATATATATATATATGTTAATTATAAAAATTATATATATATATATAATTTTTATAATTAACATATTATCATTATTATAATAATATCTATTTTTAACTCTAATAATCATAACTATTATCTTAATAGTTATTTTAAGTTTATTATTTAACTCTAATTGTTAAATAATAAACAAATTAAAGGGTACATTTAATCTTACATTTCATTCAGAAAAACAATGACTAAAAAAAAACAAAACAAAAAAACATTTATTATACTTAAACTAAAATAAACTTTTAGATAACTACTAGCAAAATTAAAAAACAATTAACAAAAAAATTCGGAAACGGTTTATATTTTTGTATGTGATCAAAATAATGAGAAATAGTCTAATAATATTATATTAGTTTTGATGGGTACTCGTAATGTTTTAATGGGTATTCGTGAAGTTTTGATGGGTATAATGAGAGAAATAGTCTAATAATATTATATTAGTTTTGATGGGTATTGGTAGAGTTAAAGTAATATAAGTAACATTAGAATTTGAGCATTTTAAAATTAAAGTACGAATTTGATACAAGCAATGCAACTGCAGAACTTAAGCACGGAAAAAACCTTTTCAGCACAGCGCTTATGCATTTAATGCTAAAGATAGGAAATACTGATATTTGCAAAAATAGAAATAATTCTAGTTGCCATTATTGTAGACTTCTTCGTCTACAATACAATAAAAAGAGAACCTAATATTACGTAGAGAAGCATTTAAAGATCTAAAAATTTAAATAGATCTATTAAAGAAGTTTTGCTATGAAAATTGAAGAAAAACTGAAACTGAAATTTTTTTTTTTTAATGTGCTTTAGAAAACCATGTTTAAATTACGTAAACATTTTATACTTACAAAAGTTTAAACATATTTTTATTCCTAAACTTGAGTTCTTTTAACCAAATAAAAATGCTTCAACATATATTTATTTACGATGCACTGGTCTTTTTAAGAGGTTTTTTAGTTATTTTTACTTTAGGGGTCAAACCAGGGGGTTACTGGAGACGTTTTTGAGGGCATTTTTGTTTTAGTTATTTATACTCAGTTTCTTTACTTTATTTAGAAGCCTATTGCAAAAAATTGGTACAAAATTTAAACTTGTCTCAACAAATTGAATTTGTCAAAATATTGATCAATAAAATTAAAATAAACTAATATAGAACATTTTAATAAAAATAGACTAGACCTATTCAACTACATTTGGTTGGGGGCCAAAAAACAATAAAAGATGGGTGGTGTAGGGCCAAAGGCATGGATAATTGACTCCAACAATTAGGGGGTCAGCGGGAAAATTTTCGTCTTTTCTTGCAGAGTCTGGGGCAGAGCCCCATCTACCAACACATTTTAAGCATTTAATATCAAATGGAGCTCATTTTAAACCGCTATAAAAAATATTTAAGAAATAATATAACAAACAAATCAAACAAAAAAAATGATATTTTTAATTAAACAAATATTCTAACTTTTAGTTATTGCAAAATAATAAGAATAAAATTTAATTCAGTTCCATTTGAAAAATATTAATATAAAATTTAAAACCAAATCAATAAAAAAAAATTGCATTTCTGTTTTTGAGCTACTTTAATAAGGTTTGGGTGATGTATGAAGTCAGATTCACATACAATCTTGCAAGCACTCATTGCACAATGAATTCTGTGTGTTTGTCTTGATGGAATTCATGTAATTCATGTCGAACCAAACATTATGAGTATATAATGAACACTGGATATTGACAAGTTCTAACTGAGGAGGACCTTCATCAACTAAAAAAAGTAGCTTTTTAGCGTTTGATGAAAAATCATTTACAGGAGTAATTTTAATAGGATCTTGAGTACTTCAGTATTCCACATTGATGACTTCAGTATTCCACATTGTTTGGAATACTAAAGTCTTCAAATGGAGATTTAAAATTTGTATGAAGCTGATTCAAGAGCTCAACCATCACATCGCAGATTGTTGCTGAGGTAACGCTGATTGTTGCTGAGGTAGGCTGATTGTTGCTGAGGTAGGCTGATTGTTGCTGAGGTAGGCTGATTGTTGCTGAGGTAGGCTGATTGTTGCTGAGGTAGGCATTGAAGCAATAAATAAGTGAAGAATTTTAGCTGATTAGGAATTTGTTACAAACAAAGGCAATTTCTCAACTAGATCAATTATTGTCTTTTCCCTATCCTGCAGCTGCAACCTCAATGTGTTCAATGAGCAAACAAACCATTTAGAAAACAAACTCTAGCCAAGAAGTCATTGTCCTATAACACTTTTTAGTATATATATATTATATACTAAAAAGTGTTACAGAACTTGTTCTAAGAAAATTTAGTATGTTGTCTTTGAGATTTTAAAAACGAACAAGTGCCTTTACTCAACCAACAAACGCCATGGATAAGTAAATCAAGTACCTTAACTTAACCAACAAACGTCATTGAAAAGTAAATCTTTAAATTCTGCTTCTGTTTCATCAAGTAATTGCTGAAAGCATAGGTATGCTGAATGCTATGATATGGATCTTACAAAATTTATAATTTTTGTAACCATGTCAACTGATTCTTTCACTTTGTTACTGAAAATTAGTATGTTGAGCTGGAATAGCTCAGTTGGCTAAAGTGCTGCTTAAAGTTCAGAATAATTATTGGCCGTAGCAGTAGGAAATGCAGGTTCAAATCCCGGCTCCACCTACTCAGCATATGAGTAGTACTTCGGTACGGAGGGGACTCATCTCGATTAGCTCTGCTATTACAATGTTTCCTTCTCAACTAGTAAATAAATAATCTAGTCGAGTAAATAAAATTATTGTTACTCAGTTTACTGCACACAACAATTTGATGTATAAGATAGTGCAGTGATTACATCTGAGATGCTACTGCAGACAATCATGCTGTCATACATAACATTCATGGCATTGTCTGTTACTAATAAACATATTTTATTCATATCAAGCTTATTTACTTGAAAAATGATTTTATCTTTTCAGAAATGACTTCTCCTGTAGTGAAATTTTTTAATACAATTAAAACTAGCATTTTTTCACAAAAACATTTTAAAAATTCATAAAAAAAACCGTTCAAATACACACAATTAATACATGTCTGTATTGACTGTGAATTCATCAATAGCAACAGATACAAGTTTAGCCAGTTTTATGTCATTAGTTAAAGACTCAAAAACTTCACCTCCCAAAATTTTAATTCTGCATATGGTTGACATATTTGACATAAGAATTTGCTGGATTAAAGATGTTAAGCTTGTTTTTGTTTTTTTGTCACATACTATTTCATCTAAAACTGCAAGCATGCATTCTTTCATGGTTTCTGAGTCAGTGAATGGTTTCTTCTTTTTTGCCAATATAAAAGATACATGCAGTAAAGCAGCTGCGGATATTTCTTGCTAGGTACAAGAACGCACAAGAATTGCACTACAATGCTCATAAGAGTTCACCAATAATTTAACCTTTGATTTTCTAGCGTCTGAACCTTCCAGGCAAGATTTCCCAAAATCTTTATGCTTTGTTGTACAATGATGCTTGACTTTGTATTTCTTTAAAACCGACAAGCATACATTGCATAGTTAACACATGGGTTTTGAATTTGGTTGAGTGGATAGTATAAATTAATATTTAAGTGTCCAATCCTTCTTGAAGTTTTGATTAATTCTAACTTTGTTTTCTTTGCTATACTAGCCATGATTTTAATTTAGTATTGCACTTACTGGAAATTCAAAACAAAATAACGCTAAAAAAATGTATAAACTGTTTGCTTATAAACTTTTTTTATTTTTTTCTCTCTATATTTCAATAATTTCAGTACTTACGATTTGTTTATCACCATAAAAAATGTACATATCATTCCTAATGTTATGTACAATATTTTTCTTGACGTAAATACTTGCGGAACTCCTCCATCTTGTTTATTTGTTTGTCTTTACAGCTTTATTTGCATCCAGCAAATTTTCCCCAGTTTTGATCGGACTAAAAGGTAACTTTGATTACTTATTAACAAATGTAATGTTAAAAAAATTTTTACTAATAAAAAAATGGGTGTGTTAGCATAAACCATGTGAGATTTTTTTTAAAAACTTTATAATTTTTTCTAACTTTTTTTAATTTTCAAAAATGTTTGGAGGGCCACTTGCTAAAGCTTGCTAGGCTAAATGTGGTCCTTGCCACCAGTTGAATAGCCCTGTTGTAAACCCTAGATTCTATTTAGACATTATTATCTGTTATATATCATATGTCATTGTTCTCATTTGACTGAAAACTGTGAAAGTTGCAAATCAATATGAGATGTCTAGGTGACTAATGCACCATTATTATTTTTCAAGCTAACAAGTTTAGTTATATACAAGTTCATATAACAAAGATTTTGAAGAAACTTGTTACTTTCTTCAAACCTTTTGTATAAAAAAAAAACAACTAAACTACATAATGTAAACCAAAAATAGTTGTTACAAAGTTTTATTATTACTTTTTTATTATTAAATATATTGTTATACAATTGATTTGATACGAATAAATAAAACTTTGTGTACCTGATGAAATAGTCTCTTCTTTACAACACAATAAAGCTGCATGATGACGATACAAACCAATAAATCGAGAGTACTTTTGACAAGTGACTAATGTATCTGGTAATAAACTAAAACAATAAAAAATTTTACTTTTATAAGTAACTTTTACATAACATTTATGAATAATTTTTAATAAAACACAAAAAAAACTTTATTACAAAATAAATATTGTTAAAACCAATACAAACAAAAATACTCGAATGTTTCTTTGTCTAATTTACTACAATTTGTAGTTTTGACAATAATTCTCGGTTGGCGATTGAAATGAATTAGATTTTGTAGAAATGATTGATTGGCTGTTAGAAATAAAAAAAAGATACTAAAAAATGATACTAAAACAAAAAAAGATACTAAAACAATATGCTTATGTTTTAATATCTTTTTTACAACCAATAGCACATAAGTAAAAATAAATCACTTACAGTTTAAAGACAGTGTCATGTCAAGAACCACACCTTTTTCAAATGGTGTTCCACCTTTTAGTGTCAACTCAAAACTCCTAAAGTAATATTTGGAAAGTAATCCTAAAATTACATTTAGCATTAAAAAACTAATACAATAGTATAAAATTTCTAAAAACATCTATACAACTGTCCCACACAAATCCTTAGTCGAATTTTTGACTTACACACATAACAAAAAAAAACTTTCAAAGTATTTTATGCAGATTTTTACTTTAAACACACGATTTTTCTACGCATTTTAACACATGTTTACAAACTTTATATAAATTTAAAAATTCTAAGTAGATCTTCAAAAAGTGTTTGGTATATAACTTTTTAACAATAACAAAGTCAACTAGTTACCAGATTACTGAAAATATTAAGACAAACCAGATTGATGTTAAACCAAGACAAACACAAACTAGAGTTCAACAAGGTCAAAAGTGTTCATTGAAAACTTTTTAATTGTTTGTAATAAAAATAGTTATTATTTTCCAAGAAAATAAATATTACTAAAGGTCATACTTATTTTCAACAGGCGCTCCAACTTCATCAAAAAGGGGTAGAGATGCCCAACCACAACAGATATCACTTACTTCACCAGTTGACTAAAAAAAAATGTCACAATAAAAAAAGTTTACAAAAGAAACTTAATAAAATTATAATAAAAAATCAATAAATTTATAATTAAAAACTGTCATAATTTTATTTAAACATAGCAACTTAATAAAAATATAAATATTTATACCATAGATTTGTTTACATGCTATCATATCTTTGTTGTTTGTGTCAAATCAAATTTAATTCAAATTTTTTAGTTGTTCCATATAAAATTTATCAAAAATTATTTTTCTTTTACTTAGAAACCATGACACAATATTTCACTTAGAAATATGAAATAAACATAAAAAAAAAAAACCCACACAATAAATAAAAGTTAAGAACTTATATTATTTATATTATATAATAAAAAATATATACATATATATATAACACAAAATTAAAAAAAAAATACCAGTCTGACATAAGTGTAGTTTAATTCAAATAAAACACCTAAAAGAATTGCAATAAAAAATAAGAAAAAAATAACAACAATAACAAAAATCATAGATCTAATACTAAAAATAAATAAAGTAATATAATGTTTAGTATTATCAATTAAAAAAATAATAACATTATAAAAATAACAATAACAAAAGCTTTTTCTTAATAAAAAAACAACTTGCAAACATCTTTATTTTGAATATTTGCACGCACTATAACTTCTCCATCATATAAACTTGGAATCATTTTTGTAACCTAATGTTAAAAAAACAAACAAACAATAAAAATCAAACACATATTACAGTTATGATTACAAATTTATATCAGTTCACAAATTTCAACAGTTATTTCAACAAATTTATATAAAAATATATAATATTTATGCTGATATTATAATCTAATATTTATTTATTATCTTTGAAGAAAAATTTCATTATATATATATATATATATATATATATATATATATATATATATATATATATATATATATATATATATATATATATATATATCTATATATATATATATATATATATATATATATATATATATATATATATATATATATATATATATATATATATATATATATATATATATAATATTTTATTATTCACAAACTGTAGTAAAAAATAACAAAGTAAACTATTGTTATGTAAAACAAAGTAAACAATAAAGTAAACAATATTATTTTTAATAACAATAAACTTCACTAATACTTTTACCTTTGGGGTAAAAGCTCAGTTTTACCTTTGGAGTAAAAGCCCAGTTTTCTTCAATATTGGTTGGAACAGCTCGAACAACATGAATGTTGCTTAAAATCTGCATTCACAAAATAAATAAAAAATTCAAGATTTTATTAAAAAAAAGAAGAGATTTCATACAATGTTCATGAACAAGTACAGCTCAAAATGAAAAAAAAAAAAAAACTAAACTAAAAAAAGAAAAAAAGATTTTTTAAATGAAAACCTTGGAATTGTCCCATAGTGTTATGTAAATATGTCTGCTTAAAATGCTTATACCTAAAAGCAGTTGCAAGTTAAGGCTACTTTTAAATTTAACATTTACTAAAGACTTTATGTATACACAAAATTTTTTATTGTATATAAGCAGTTCAAAATTAAAGGCAAATAATTTTTAATTTTTAACTAAACTTTTAAAAATTGAAGAGCACAGAGGAAAAAATGGCACATTTAAAGTTTTGAGAAAATATATATTGATTTTTTTTGTTGATAAAAATGAAAAAATTTCATTAAAAATAAAAACCTTAAATAAATCAAGAAATGCTTTTTTTCCTGTAATTTTAAGACTTAAGTAATTTTTTTTTTTATATGAAGAATAAGTGACTAATTAAAATAGTTTTGAGGAAATATTATTTTCTAAAAACTTTTTAAATGTGATTATGCCTCTCTTTTTCCTGTGTATTCTTCAATTATTATATTAAAATTAGCATAACAGTTATCTTACCAACACCTGGTATTGGAATTGAACGAGCCGAAATTAAAGAAATTATTCTGCATATGCTAACAGATTGACAACGTAACTAAATATTAAAAAAATATCAACAAAATTTTTTCAAGTATATTTCTTTCTCAAAACTAATACATTAAGTATATAAAATATAGGCTTGCCATTATAAACCAGCAATCATAGGGGTGCCATTATAAATCATAAACCATAGAGGACACCATTATAAATCAGCAAATTTAAAAAGGACTTATTGTTGTTATTATTTAACAAAACCAATATCAAAGGTTGTTACCTATCATTGTTATCAACTTGTTCCATAAGAACAGAAAGTACCAAAAGTGCCAAGGAAAATGGATTTAGTTTAAATATCTACTTATTCAATAACATGAATCATAAACAGAAACTTTGAAAACAGCTTTGTAATAATATAGAAATCCATTTGAGCAAAGTAGCGAGGAAATAAAATGTTTGTCAATGTTTTTATTTTCAAGTTATAATTAAAAGAGGCTGTTACAACATTAAAATAATCATTAAAATAATATAATATAGCATTAATATATCATAGCATTTGTAGTTTATAAAACACGAAAAACTTTTTATAGAAATTGCTCCTGTAGTAAAAAGTATGGACAGTTGCATTGTGAAAAAAATTAAACTGGAATGAAAAGCAAATTGACTGTTGTTGGCTGGCACAGAAATTGACAGCTTCTTCAGGGTCACATAGATTTTGCCTGCCCCATCCTTTATATATATATATATATATATATATATATATATATATATATATATATATATATATATATATACATATATATATATATATATATATATATATATATATATATATATATATATATATATATATATATATATATATAAATAAATAAATAAATATAATAAATAAATAAATATATATATATATATATCCATATTAATATTTTAATGTTTTATATATTGACTGTTTTTCTTTAGAATATTAAGTATATATAAAAAAATTAAAATAGTTTAAGAAGTTTCAGTATTTTTAAGTTTCTTCACTTAAAGCAAATATACGATTGTTTATAGAGGTTTCCTAATAATAGTTTTGTATTTACTTATTAATTGCAAATCTTGCATTATATGCCTTTCAAAGTAATTAAAGGGATTTTTTTGATGAAGGGTTACATTTCACCATTCAATGCTGAGCAGACAGCCTTCATAATTTTTTCAATTTACTAAATTTATGAGTCCTTATCTGTAAAAAATTTTTAATTTTTATAATTACTTTTTATTGTTTTTTTTGATCAAATACTAATAATATTTTGTCAATAATTATTAATAACTATATTAAATACATAACATTACTCATTACTTATATTAATTTATTTATAACTTTAGTTTAAATTCTTGATAGAAATATCTTTACCTATTGCTATATTATTTTATAACATCTTATTTAAATACAACTATTAGTAGAGGAAGAATATAATAAAATTATTATATTATACTCTGTTTTGCTTACACTTTATTTAAGATAAGTTAAGAGAAAAAACTAAAAGTTTAACTTTGAAATAAAAGGGCAACTTTTATTATATTAAGCATCATTTTTACACACTCCTTTGATGCTTAGTTATGTCTGATAACTAAAGAAGTAAAAATATAAGGTTTTGCTGAAATTAAAGAAACCAGGCTATGCAAAATGAATTTAACCGTCGCCAAAACGTAAGAGATGAGCTTAGACTAGTTTACTTAGTATAGTTAGGCTTGTTCTTAATATATTTTGTTCTTAATATATATATATAGTTCGATCCCCACCATGCCCCTGGTAGTACCGCGCTCAACTCGTTTCTCTGCGCAGCGGCCTTGTTCATCAAGGTTCATGTTTCAGAGTTATAGAGTTGAGAGAGGGCTATAACCACAAATAAGTAGCCTCCTCGTCTGTAATGGCCTTTTCGGCCTTGAGGAGGTGAATTAAATAAAAAAAAAATATATATATATAGTTTTTGACAAGTATTTTTATGTGTCTTATGATGTAGTAACGCGTGTTTTTATTGTGTGTTATATAAGATTATATTTTGTTAGTGTTTCTATGTGTGTGCTGTTAGTAGTTAAAATATGAACAATAAACTCTGAATAACTCAATAACCCTTAACTTAAACTAATTTTAAAATTTCATTTGAGCCTTTATTTATGGATTATCCTGCCAATAACTCTAGCTTTCTCTAACAAGCTTATTTCTTGGTCCTCTAAAGGTTTGAGTAATTTAAAGTTTAATGTAATACGTTATGTTATTTGTTAGTTTTGTGATGTTGTTGTGTTGTTTTGTATTGATAGATTAGATGACATGGTTTACTTTCACGTTGGGGTCTTAAATTTAAAATGATTATTTGGTAGTTTCATTACTGAAACTGACTACATATAATCATTTACTAAAAGCTAAAGATTTAGTTTTCAAATAAAAACAAAGGTATATCTTATTGTGATCATTTATTTTTAGCCTTGCTTTTTTAAAAAAATTTGGTAATCCAAACTTGCAACAATAAATCTTGAAACTTTCAAAAAAGATAAACAACCTCACAAAGTATGTTTCTTATTTGCTATCTGTTTAGTCACATTTTTGAGTTTTCAAATAAATAAATAACAAATAATGTGTATTAAGTGTATTCAATAATAACTTTGTTCCATCTTTAGGTTGAATTCCTTCTCCTATGACTGATTTTGAAAGTTTCTACATAGCAGTTATGTATTTGTTATTGTATTCAAAAAGCTAAAAGGAAGGTTGATAATCTTCATACCATTTACTAAAAGATATATAATAATGAAAGAATGTTTCAAATGAAATTGTTTTTGTAAGTATTTTTGATACTTTTTTATGTTAAATACAAAATTTTTTTGTAGTTTTTTTTTTAAGTTTATTCTATCTCAAAAAAATTATTTTGTTTTTTTTCAAATAAATTTCTTTATTTTTCATCTTTAGAATTATTGTTTTGAATGGATATAATGGCTATTTTTGCTTTGTTTTTTATACTTCTGTTATCTTTTTATATGTGAATTGGAACCATTTATACTTTAATGACCTTTTGTATGCTCAAGACGGTTTCCATTTGCAGTAAGTATCAATTGCACAAACAACAAGTTTAAAAATTTATTTTCCGCAGCAAAAACAGCTTAATTGTATGAATTTGTTGAGAGTTTTTTTACAGAAAAGCTTTTATAAAAAATATCAAATAGATAAAGCTAACTTATTTGAAATACCTAGGTCTCTTGGGCCCATTTTTCAATGTCCAAATTTGCTTTTTAAATAAATCCTTATGAGAGAGTTTAAATACTATTATCATAGCCTAAGTTTACAAAAACACCTGAACAATTATAATGCAGCTATCTTATATATAAAGATACTTTTATTATGTAGAAAATATTAAAATAAAAAAGTAATAATGTAAAAAGTAAATATACTAAATAGTTCCATATATAGTATAATAAATAGTTCCATATATAGTATAGTAAATAGTTCCATATATAGTATAGTAAATAGTTCCATATATAGTATAGTAAATAGTTCCATATATAGTATAGTAAATTAAAAATTAACCAGAAGGCAAGAACTTTAGGTAGTCAGTAATATTTTTAGTGAACCAAGACATTTTAATGACCACAACAGTAATTATATTTAAAAAATTTGGTTGTCAATTTTTTAAATTAAATATAATGGTATTCAATAAATTTTATTCAAATTGGACTGTTTTCTTTTAAATTAATTATAATTTAACAAGCAATAGATTTATGGTTTGCAAAAAAGTTAGAATTTTATCAATTACCAGAACTTTAAATTGATTTATTTTTTGCAGTTTACTAAAATAAAGTAAGACTAAATTCACAACCCATAACATACGGGTCATGACAGCTTACTATATGATACCAATAAATGTGAAAAATGAGTAATATTTGATATTTTATTAAACTTGTTATCATGGCTATGATTTTTTTTCTTCTAAAAATATATGTAAAATAAAAGTTATAACTGAATTTACTTGTTTGTTTACTTACAAAAAGTAATAGATTAAAAATAATTTAAAATCTTTGAAAAAAAAACACAAAATAACTTTTTTGGGGGACTTGGTACAAGGGTTAACATTTTGAGCTGAAATTTAGGGCTTTTATGCTACCCATCACCAGAAAACAGCCAGGGAGATGGACATTTTTAAACTTTGGGTTTTTGAAACACCCTAATATATATATATCTATATCTATCTATATATATATATATATATATATATATATATATATATATATATATATATATATATATATATATATATATATATATATATATATATATATATATATATCTATATATATATATATATATATATATATATATATATATATATATATATAAAATACATATTGCATTGTTGACTCTGCTTAATATGTTATAAAGAAACTATTGAGTTCATTTGAAAATTTTATTGTTGCTGCTAAGTCCTAGTAGTAAAGAGTTAAACTGAAATTTTTATTCTTTTTTTTAAAATGTTATTTACCTTCCCAAGACCAAGAGAGCCACTATAATTGAGGAGGCTATATTATTGAGGAGGTTACTATGGTTATTATTATTATGGCTACAACTCTATTCTCAACTCTTTGACTCTAAAACACGTACCTTGACGAACAGTCAAGGTACATGTGTATCACATGCGCAGAACAAGAATTTAAGCGCAGTCATACCAGGGAGATGTGGGATCAAACTCAGAACTTCTTATGAAGCAAGCACTCTACCACTACACCACTATCACATTAATACTATAATACTTTTTTTGGGCTTAATTATTATCAACTAGTAAATAAAATTAAAAAAAAAAAAAGTTTACTAAATTATTTGACTAAATTTTTCTGTAAACTTAAAAACTTTGGCATATAAAATTTGTTGAATGGTCACACACGAGCAGTGAATGCCTGAGGGAAGAAATGAAGTACATTAGAATTAAGGAGAATTATTTATTAGACAAAGCATATTTTGGCAGCTGTCAAAATTGCTAAAAATAATAAATTGCTATAAATAATTGCTAAATATAATAATAATCAACAACTACTTTCATTGACCTGCTCATTGATGTTGTCCCAAAAAAGATAGTCAAACTGTACATTAGAGCTGCTTGCCTTTGGATGTACCCATGATGAGGCCCTGTTAACTTCTGCAAAATAAAATTGTTACAAATGAAGAAATCATAAGCAGAATTTTTTAACAAATATAAGTTGACCATTTTATCTATTACCAAGTTTATAGAGTTTGCCTAATGTTGAATTGCGAAAACCAGAAGGCACTGCTTTCATTGCTTTTAACACATCTGTAACACCAATCTATTTTAAATGAAACATATTGATTTTATTAAATGTTTATATAAAAGATTATATATAGATATACATTTAAAAAACAAATTTACTATGGAATTTTTTTTTTCATTTTTCAATTTTTATGTTTTGTCTAAAAAATGGCTGGGTTAAGTTGGCATTTAAAAAAAACAAAGTTTCCAAAATATAAAATAAAGTGAGAAGAATATATTATTAGTATGCTAATCTATATTAATAGTATGCTAATTCTACAAGAGTGCTCAATGGTCTTAAAGAACAGAGCAATAATAAATTAAATTAGTAAAAACACTTATCTAATTTTTTTCTTCTACAGTTTGTCTTTCCATCAGTATGTTGAGCTTCCTGATCAACCTACTGATGGAAAAATAAGCTGTCGAAAAAAAAAATTAGGTAAGTGTTTTTACTATTTTATATATACATATATAAATTAGTAAAATTGGTGTAGACACTCTTTTTAGAAAAGAACCTTAAACTCTAAGTTCAAGTCTAGGAGCTACAACTTTTTAAAACTCAATAAATAACCTATCCAAAAATCTATTCAAAAAACTTATTTACAGTTTGATACCCATACATTAAACTTTCTTTTCTAAAGAAATTGTAGCTTATTCAAAATAATATATAAACATATATTTTTTCTTTTTCTAAAAAATTAAAGTGCACATTTAATTAAGAACCAAAAATGGTATTAAGAAATTGTGTCCTTAGCTATGAATTAAGTATAATATAAATATACATAAACAGTTTTTGCCTGATTTTAGAACTTATTTAGAATTTCACAAACAAGTAAACAACTCATGTAAAACATATTTGTTTCCTATATTTTCATCAACACACATCAAAAACATTTGTTTTCTATATTTATCAATAAAAACAAAGTCATCCTTCCAGAAGATTTTTCAGCTTTCTAGTTGAGAAACTCTATTTTCATTCTTCTATTTTGTTTCTTAGCACAGCTTTGAGGCATTTAAAAATTAACAATACATTTGACAAAAGTTTATATTTTAGTTCTGCATTATTTATTTCTTATTTAGAAATGTTACAAAAACTACATTAGTTTTTAAATTTCTTATTTTTCAAACTGGATATTTAAATAATTATAGAGTAGAATTCATTTTTTTAATAAAACAAAAATTATAAATTAAAAAGAAAAGAATATATTTTTATGATTTCAAATACTTGCGTCTATAAAACAATAATAAATTTCTCTTACTGAAGAAAACAAAAGTATTACCTGAAAAATTAATATTTTTTATTGACCTTATTTAAAAAAATATAATCAAATACTTAAACTTTTTTTTATGTACAGTTTAGTAATTTTAAAATATTTAACAAACTTTTGAAAGCTGCAGTAATATTGCTGCATTAAATAAATTGTGAATCAAAACTCATACTTTAGCTGGTGGAGAGCTTTTCCTCAAAGTACTGTCCCATAATTCTTTTCCACTAGATAATATAAAAGTATTATATAAAATATTCTATTACAAATACAAAAAAAAAAAATTATTTATGCAATATAAAAGATATTCAAGCTGTTATCTTATTTCAAGTTTAAATTCTCTCTCTCTCCCTATATATATATATATATATATATATATATATATATATATATATATATATATATATATATATATATATATATATATATATATATATATATATATATATATATATATATATATATATATATATATATATATATATATTCATATATATATATATATATATATATATATATATATATATATATATATATATATATATATATATATATATATTCATATATATATATATATATATATATATTCATATATATATATTAACTTTATAATATTTATATGTACAAAAATGTAAACAAAATTCTTTATGAACCTTTTCTTTTTTGTAGAGCTACTAAGTTCTGTTAAAAGAAAAAAAAATTATTTGAAAAAACATGCAAAAAAACCTAATAGTAACTAACAAAAAAAATGCTTGATAACATATACTACAATGCTCTATAGTATATATGCAACATATAACATATACTATCATGCTTTATTGTATATATGCAATATATAAAATATACTGTAATAAAAAATAACAAATAACATTTAACTAACATAAAATAATAATAAATATTATTACCATTTAATTTACGTTTAGTATTATCTTCCACAACCTTAACAATATATCAACAGTAATTAAAAATAACAGTAAAAAGTAAAAAATAATAGTAAAAAGTAACAGGAGAAATTTAAATTAAGCATAAATATATGCTAAATATTTAAAATACTTATAACTATATACTTATAAATGTATAAAAATTGTTTAAAAACTTTTGAATACATACAAAACATTTAGAAATTTACTACATTTTTAAATTAAAATAATTTTTTTTAATACATAAAGTTTATTTTATTTTTTTAGTTTGTTATAGAAATCTGACTAAGAATGCCAAAGTTAAAAAATAGCATAAACATCTCTGAACAAATATCATTGTTCTTCGTCATTTGTAACTAAAATTAAAATTTTTAAAATTTAATGCTGTTATGTAGAGTGTGAAAAATAATAGAATTATCTACAAATTTAACTAAGCTCTCAGTTTGAAGCATGTGGTTTTTAAAACAGATACAAGTAACAACTTTTTTTTTAAAGTTTCCACTAGATGCTTATAGAAAGTAAAAAAACCTAAGATTCTAATTAGCCTAAAAAAACTTTTAAAATTTCTGTCAAAAAGTAAGTTTGCACGATTTTAACATTTTTTGTTAACAAATACGTATTTTAATAACTGTGAGAAATTTATATGCCAATTTCTATAAGGAGACATTTCTATTATGCATAGATTTTATACCATGATAAAATTTACGTGTAACACCACCACTCTAGTTAGAGTACAAGTTCCTACTAAAACTTAACATACTTTCTTAGATAGAAATTGTAAAAAAAGTAGGTAACAGTCATTATGTAGTTTGTACATTCACAAAAAACTTTATAAAGAACTGAAAGTGACAATAAAATGCTCAACTCTCAGTGAAAAAATTGCACATTAGAGCAAAATAATATTTTAACAGCTGTGTAAACTGCAAGCTTATCCAATCAAGTTATGTTATTTAATAACCAATCAAGTTATGTTTCTTAATAACCAATCAAGTTATGTTTTATAATAACCAAGCAAGAAGCGATTGGTAAATAATCAAAAAACCAATCATCTCAAGTAGGCCTAAGACCACAAACAAATGACACATCAAGTCACATCAATTTTACCATTAATCATTGCATGCTTATTTACTAATTATAAAGAGTCTCACTAAAGAAATCATTTTATGAGGAAATTTCATTTTTAATAAAATAAATTATAAAGATAAGAAATATAAAAAAATCTAACATTTAAAATCAAACTTAAGAAAGCAAACAAGGAAGCAAATATAAGAAATCAAACATCAGGAATCAAACATAAGGAACCAGACATAAAAAATGAAACATAAGGAACCAGACATAAAAAAATGAAACATTAGGAACCTAATAAACCAAGCATAAGAAATTAAAAGCATAAAGAATTAAGCAGAAGTCAAAACTTAGTTATCAAAAACTTTTAAAATAGCATAAAAAAAAATAATAAAAAAATTAGAAAAGTTTTTTAAAAACAAATATTACATGTTAAAAACTATTAGAAAGAACTTTTTAGTTTTAATTTTTAGAATGTTTATTTTTTTTATTTATAACATTTAAATAATTAAAATACCTTAACAAGTGTACTTGGAACTAAGCCATTGTCACCTTTCTTGTTTACTCCATCCCACCATCCATCTTCACTATAAAAATTAAAATTATTTTAAATGTTAATGTTATAATTTTGGTGTCTTGCCAAACATATAAACTGCTTTATTTGATTGTTGTGACAGCAATCACATCAATGTTATGTTTTTGGAATTTTAATTTTGAGGGTATTATTAAAAAAATTATTGTTTTATATAAAATAAACAAAAACTTTGATATCAAAACTAGTTTCATTATCTTTATAGAAATTTTATTTGAAAGAAAAATGATGACAAAAAAAAGTATAGCGTGGAAGTTCTTTGATATAAGCACGACTCCTCATATGAGTAAATGCAAACTATGTGATAGTACTTCCGCCACATAACTTTTGGTTAGTTAGCGTAAAAAGCGTATTTTGTGTGAATAGTTCAGCGCTAGAGATTTTACAAGTTTTTATTCCAACTTTTAAAAAATGGACTCTGTGCCGAGTACCCGGACTTGGACCCGGTTTTTTCAGCCGGGTACCTGGAATCGGAAACTTGGCATAAACTGGTTCCGGCACATATATATATATAACCACATATACACACAAACATATATGAATATATATATACTTACTTTGCTTTAGTAATGTAGATGATCTCCCCTTTTAAAAATGTAAGATCTCCTTCTTGTTCTGCTTTAAAGTCGCTTAGTGCTTCAACACAATAAATCTGCACATATAAAGAATAATACAACTTTATTGTGATTAAAAAAAAGTTAATTAGTATTTAACTTGAGATTCCTAACACAGTTTTTTCTAAAAACCATAAACCAAAATAGTCCAGTTTAAGTCAAAATTTACTTAGATGACTAAGGGCTTATGATAAAATAGGAGTAATTGTTTTGTTTTATCACATTTTTCCCAAGAACTAAATAGATTAATTTTACAATGCAGATTCTCCATTTTCTACAAAAAATAAAAATTTATGTGTCTGTAGCTTTGTGTAAATAACAATTTATATTTATGTTTTTTTTAATGTTAATTCACCTTGCCAAGGTCGAGAAAGCCACTACAGTCAAGGAGGCTACTTTAATTATGGTTAGAACCCTCTCTTAACTCTGGAATATATAATTCTAGACCTTGCCAAACAAGACTGCTGTCTGAAGACACAAGTAAAGTGTGGTACTACAAGGGATGTAGTGGAGATCAAACTCAGAGCTTCTTGTTTATAAAGTGAACGCTCTACCACTACACCAGGCTTTGTTTTAAAGTATTAAGCTCCCAGCATTTTACATATGCGTTAAGCTATTTTACAAATGCGTAGAGCAATTTTTCATTTTTTAATTTTTAAATTATTCTATAAGCAGTAAGATGAAAGAAGTAATTAATTTTATAAAAAAACCATATTAACTTTTGAATGATGATTATGTAAAAAAGTTTGTTACAAAAGTTTGAATGACAATTATATTAGATATAAGTGCTATTTACTAATGAAAAAAAATGAAATAAAATTAAAAAATACAAAAACTTAATCTCTATTTAAGCTAATTATTTTATAAAAATATTTAATAACTGAAAACAAAATTGTATATAGGTAACGATAAACATTTTTTTTGTATATGTATATATAAGTTATTAAACAAAACAGAGCACAGCGGAAGATCATTTAATAGGAAGTTCACGCCTCTTTCCCAACCGATGTCACAGATCTTGCCCAGAGGTGGGGTTTGAACCACGGATCTTACGAGGCAAGTGTGCTACCACTGCGCCATGGCTGCTAAATTATACTTTTGATTGCAATAAAAAAAAATTTACTCAAATTTCTATTTAATATTAAAAAATAAATTAATAATAAAAAAAGTTAAATTCTATTTTATCTTTATTTTATATATTTTATTTTTATTTTGTTTTTATTTTATTGCAATGATTGATTTTTTCGCTTAAAAAACACTAATACTTTAAGCTTGAAGTAAAGATCATAATAATATAATTTAATTCTGATAAAAAATATATGAAATAAAACTAAATTAATAAAAATATATAACTTTATTCCGATAAAAAAAATACATAATTTTGGTTTAAAAAATATAATTTAATTCTGATTAAAAAATGTATTTAAGTTTATTAAAATTAATGGTTGAGTTTAACTTAATTGTCAAGTTTATTTAAAAATATTACTAAATATTGTTCAATATTTAAATTTTTTTTTTTTTTAAAAAAAAAAAACTAATTTTTATGGCAATTGTTTTTTTCGGTTTTTTTTAACAAAAACTTTTATTTACTTTATTATTATTATTTTTTTATGACACAAGTTAAAACGCAGCAATTATTTTTTAATAAAGGATACATACAGTGATATAATTTTAACAAACAGTGTTTGGAAAAATAATCTTTGTTTTCACAACAAAATTGCTAATAAAATAATAAACTTTTAATAAATAAAGTAAATAAACTAATACAATTTTTGTATTAGTTACTTGCTATTTTTTTAGTTGCAAAGCTGTAAATAGAAATTGAAGAAATAATCATTTTTTAACATATTTTAATTCATTTATACAAATGTTGAGAAAAGAAATAAATTTGATTATATCAAACATATTTTTAAAAGTGTAATATTAAATTTAATTATTTAATATAGAAACAAAAATCAAAAGAAAGTAAACATTCCCTAATAGTAATAATAAAAAATAAGTTAAATTATATTTAACTTGTTTTATGGTAAATAATATTATTGCAGTAATTTAAAAAAGTTGTCTTTAAAAAATAAAAAAATAAAGAGAATAAAGCCAAATTCACATCAGGCAAATGTGTTAAGCATTTTTTATTTAAAACAAGACTTGCTACACCAGGTGTATCATGATACTGCAGGTGGTGTATCATAATACTGCAGTATCATGATACATCACAACAGTATGATCCGCAGTATCATTTAACTAATAATGTAATAACAATATAAATAAACTAGAAATAATCAACTTAAAACTCCATACAGTGTTTCACAGGAAGATGTGCAATCGCACGCAATTATATGACCATGCAAAAAATACTTTGTTTGGACAATTTGACCACAGTTTTTAACATGTTTTCAATCTTTAAAAATGCCCTAAAAAACTTACTCAAACTTATTTAAAACCGATCACATAACTAAAGCTACACACAAATGCTTTTTTTGTTTAAATCATGCTTTTAATTACGTTTGGAATAATTTTTTATCTTTATTAATGTTTATATAATATTATAGGAAAACCTTAAAATAAAAAGAACCATTTACTTTTAATGATTTTTTAAAAAATACACTTAATTTAAATTATAACGTTTATTTTACTAATTTAAAAATATCAGTTTCCATAAAATGTAAGCTTGTAAACAATTACGCATTATAAAAACATTCCATTTTTTGTTTTAATATTTGTATTTTGTTTTTTTTTTAAATTTGTTTCAAATGATTAACATTTTTCATAAAAAATACATAATTACATAAATAAAAGAAACAACAGTTCATTAACACTTAATATAAAAACTCATTAGAAGTGTTTAATTACTTCATTAAAAAGCATTTCAATAATTTAAAAATATTAAAGATTAAACTTATTTAATTGTAACAACTTTCAAAAACATGTCTTTTTTCTTTCAATGAAATTTTTTAAATCGTTTTAAATGTATTAACTTTAATGATTCTTATATTAAAATTCGTTAAAGAGACTTTTCTTGTCTTAGAAAGTCATCATTTATAAAAACAAAATAATTTTTTATTTTTAAATAACATTTATTATAAAAAAAATGCATACGTAAATAACTTATATAATATAAATTTAAAAAATTAAATTCGTCAGTGATACTTAAAAAAAAATCATTATCAGTATATTGTTATTTTATTCAAAAGCATTTTGCTGATATAAAAATGTTTGTTAAGAAGTTTTGATGTAATTTATTCAACCTTAGGTATAACTCGCAATATTTTTTTTTAGTTTTTGAAAAGTTTTTTGAAATAGCTGCGTTCAAATCGTCAAAGCAAAATGTGATTTGCCTGGTCATATAATGACGTGCAATCGCACGTCATTATATGACCAGGAAGTTTTAATTATATGACAAAGGAAAACGTTCAATCGTTTTCCTTTGTCATGTCTGTTTTGTCATGACATTTTGATTGCACGTCTTCCTTTGAAACACTGCCATAACACACACGCACATCAATTCACACAAAATCAATTAAATCAAGAAATGCTAAAACCTAACAATTATTTAATTTAAGTTAACAGAGTAATGGTATTTAGTTAGATCAAAACAATAACAAAAGGACTAAATGATACATTTATTTTGACAAAGCAAGACATTTATTTTTAAAAACAAGATCAATAAAAACTTTGTTAAAAAGAATAAAACCAAACAAAAAGAATAAATGAAAAGCTGGGAACTCAAAATAACTATTTTGTCAAACAAAAAGAAAAAATGCAGAAATCCTTCAGTTAAGCTGTACAAAATGATTTTTTTTGCTTTTTTTTGGGCTTATCGCAATTACGTCTGAATAGCGGACCCTTCGGGCGAGCTTTAGGGTAAATAGTGATATTATTAGGATCAGATTTAAGTTCATGGTTTAAAAGGGTTAAGACAAGGGTAATGTTGTTCTAGCTTGATATTTAACCCTAAACCTTAACCAAGAAGCTCAAATAAATGTTCCTTTTTTAATCTGTGGAAGAGTGCATCACATCAGACATATTTTCAGTTTTGGACAAAATAAGTGCAACCAAATAATGCTAATTTAGTTTCTTTATATAAAAGTGCTGCATTTTTTCAATTTAGAGAAATAATTATGTAACTGTTTAAAGGCAACGTTCTTCAAGTTTTATTCATCACAAAGTTCATTATTTGTACACGAAAATTAATAAATTAATCAAAAGTATTAAAAAAAGTTGATTTCCTTCTGGACAAAACAAGTGCAACTCCACAAAATGTTGACCAAGCTGTATTTCGCTATCAATATTTCTTGGCGAATCTTTTGTTGTCGATCACAGCCTTGCATCTTCGAGGCATAGATTCAATCAGGTGATCAATGAAACTTTGTGGAATCGTTGCCCACGCCTTTTGGATTTGTTCAAACAGTTGATCCTTATTATGAACACCTTCACGATTAATTCTGCGGTTGACAATCTCCCACAGGTTCTCAATAGGGTTGAGATTCGGAGATTGAGGCGGCCAATCCATCACCGATAGGTGGTTGTTTTGAAACCACTACTTGATTAGTTTGACTTTTGCAGTGTGTTTCGTTGTCTTGCTGAAAAACCCTTTTTATTGGCATATTCCATTCAGGATGAGGTAACATAACATCTTTTAGGATATTTTTATACATAAAATGGTCCATTATTCTATCGATTCAATGCATTGAACCTAGACCGCTAGCAGAAAAACACCTTCAGACCATTACATTGCCTCCACTATGCTTCACGGTCTTATGGCAGAAATGTAAATTGAGGCGTTTTCTGGCCGGTCGATGTACGCAGCAAATGCCATCGCTCCCAATGATGTTGAACTTCGATTCATCACTGAACAGGACAGTTCGCCATTTCTGCACATTCCAGTCAATATGAGATGTAGCAAACAGGAGTCTTCTTCTGGTTCTTTAGTGAAATCAGCGGTTTCTTTGCAGGGCATCAAGAAAACAATCCGGCTTCAACAGCACGTCGTCTGATTGTTCGGTCTGATACAGGCAGCTCTAATTGCTTTAGTATCTCA